TGTGTGTGGTGTGCTGGGGTGCAGGTTCCTGGGAGGGTTGGGGTGGCAGGAAGGGAGTGTGTGTGTGTGTGTGTGTGTGTGTGCGCGCGCGCGTGCATGTGTGTGGTGTGCTGGCGTGCAGGTTCCTGGGAGGGTTGGTGTGGCAGGGAGGCAGTGTGTGTGTGTGGTGTGCTGGGGTGCAGGTTCCTGGGGAGGGCTGGGATGGCAGGTGTGGCGGTGGGTGTGTGTATGTGTGTGGCGTGCTTGGGAGGGAGGTTCCTGGAAGGGCTGGGGCTGGAGCCTCCCCCAGGTGTTTGGATCCCAAGGAGGTTCACCCTATACTGTAGAGCCCTTTCTAGGCTCTGCCCAAGCCTGAGCCTCACCCCTTCCCGCAGGTTGCCTGAATCTCTGCCTTTGCTAGCAAACCCCTGCAGTTTGGGAGTTTGGGGGTAGCTGTGCTGGAGGTTCTGGGGTGCTGGGGGCAGGGGTTCAGCAGGGCAGATGCCCTAGCCTCGCCCTCCTCTCTGGACTCCCCCAGGTGTTCGTGCTGGCGCTCACCTTCCTCATCCTCTTCCTCGGCAACTTCCTGACCACGCTCAAAGTCGTGCATGCCAAGCTCCAGAAGAACAGAGGCAAGACAAAGCAGCCCTGAGCTCTCGGCTTCTGTGCCCTCGGGCTGGACTTTAGACTGTGGGGCGCTCCTGGGCTCCTCCCCAGCAGCCACCTCAGGCCTGTGGCATCTCTGGGAGAGAGCCCAGGCCCTGATCCCCCAAAGGACGAGAGGAATGTGAGCCCCGCCTGTCTGCACAGTGTTCGCCTATTTATAACGTATTTAATGCCGGGTCCCCCATCGTCCCTGGAACCCGGGCCAGTCTTCCTGGGGATGGGTCTGAAGCCTCAGGGAGCCCCTCTGTTCCCACTCTCGTCATTTGAACCCCTTTGGGTGGGGTTTGGATGTGCCTCTGGAGGTTGGATTTTATGCTGACCTGCTACTTACCAGGCCCAGGCTGGGGTGGCCTGAACCCTCAGCGCCCTGTGGCGCCCCTGTCCCGGGGCCACTCTGCTTCTGCTGTGAGCCCCCTCCTTGCCCACCCGCCACGTGGTGGGGGTCATTTAAGTTCTCAGAGACCCACTGCATCTGCCTCATGCTCTTCTTGCCCCTGGGAGCTCTGGGGGGGGCGTCCTGAATCAGGCTGTGAGCAGAGTCGCAGCCAGAGGGCGCCCCAGGCCGTCCAAGGGAACAAGGACGTTCCTGTCCATGCTTCGGGGTTCCCTGACCTCCCATCTTGCAGCCCACCTTCCTGCAGTCTTGCGGCGGGTACTTGGGGAGTGGGACCAAGACCCTTGGACCCTTTGGAGGAGTCCCACCTCCCCCCACCTTTTTCCTGGAGGTTCTGGATGTTGTGGGAGGGAGGTAAGGAGGCCCTGGCAGGCTCACCCCTGGGGGTGAACCCTGAGGCAGGGCCAGAGCCACTGGACACCACTTGGGTGAGACTCTGCATTTGATGTGAGGTGGAGAGGCCACCAGGCTTGGCTTAGTGCTCTGCCCTGCCTCCCATATATGGGCCTCAGCTGCCCCTAAGCAGGGTCCTACAAATCCCAAGGCCAGATGTCAAGCAGTGCACACAGGCATGCCTTGTTTAGCCCTCCCCTAA